TAGCCTGAAGTGAGTACTCGTAATACATTAAAATTATTTAGGACAAGGATTTATGTGGCTTGGAAAGTAGGGAGGGTGAGTGTGGGCCCACAGCACTTAGGCGACATGTAGGCCCATTGTACATCCTCCCGAAGAGTTGTCCTCTTAGGTCATTGTCCATCCTGTCCTTTCCAGGAAGGTGGATAGGTCACTAGGAGACATCTCCTTTATATCGGCAGGTGTAGGCCAAGAATCGCCAAACACACACTCTGTTATTGACGATAACTCCGGACAGTCACATAAGACATACCTTTCATCTTCCGTTCACACATTCTGCATAGAGGTGTGTCCAATAGCCCCATAATATGGAGGCGTTTTTTTAGTGACACTGGCCAGTCAGAAATCCTACTGTTAAGCGTAGGTTTTTCCTGGTCATCAACAAATATTTTTTCGGGCCGCCCAAGATGATCTTGGCAAAACTGCATCCTTTGATTCCATCCCATCTCTTTAGGGATTGAGCATGGGTGTGATGTTTGGCTAGTTCTGCAATTGTCGAAGTCATCAGGCCGTAGGTGTCACTGGGTCCTAAAATTCTTAGTCTAGCCGCTTCCTTGGCTAAAGAGTCGGCAATGCGATTACCTTTACTCCTGTCGTGCCTTTTAACCCACCTCAAGGTAATGTTATTATCTACCGAGGCTTTGGCTAAATCTTGATGCCACTCTAGTACTAGTTGCGAGGTAACACGTTGTCTATTCAAGCCTAATAGGGCTTGTCTACTATCAGTGCACATTGTTATATTTTTGCCAGAAATTTCTTTCCTGGTTATTTCTTTTGTGGCGATTGAGATACCAGCCAGTTATGTTTGAACCACATTGGTATTTTTTCCATTCCCCACTTAATCCTTAGGCTTAGTTATCTGGAGTAAACTCCACATCCTGACCCTTCTATGGTTTTTGAGCTATCTGTATATATGCATATTGCATTTGTAGAATCTGACTCTGTGTTCTGTTTTATTTGTATTTTGTAGGGTTTATTAAACACAAACCTGAGTTCAATTGCATCACTGGCTGCCTGCAGCGGACTTTGTGCAGTAAGCGCTTTTCGCCAAAAGCTTAGCTTCAATTGACCCATTCCTTCTTCGAGGTTTACACAAGCTGTACGTAATCGTAACATGGCCATTAATGCAACCTCCTTAGGGTGCAGGTCCAGAGGAGTCAAACCAGTACTTAATTCCATTGCCGCGTTTGGTGTTGTTCTCATGGCTCCTGTGATGTTCAAACAAGCTAATCGCTGTATTTGATATAATTTTTGTATGGCTGTTGCTTGTACAACTTTTGGTCCCCATGCAATGGCTCCATACGTTAACATAGGTCTTATTATTGCAGTGTAGATCCAGGTGACACACGGGGTAAAAGACCTCATGTGCGTCCCACTGTCCTCCGACATTGCTCATAAGCCACATATTCTTTTTTTGCTCTACTCTGTAGGTGAGAGTTCCATGTTAGCTTCCTGTCGAGGGTAGTACCGAGGTATTTCACCTCTTCAGAGGAGTTTAGTTTGCTTTTGAAGATTTAGGGAGGTTTCAAGCCCGATAAACTTCTTTTCCTGATGAAAAGGACCATCTCAGCCTTCTTGGGATTGATCTACAGTGAGTGTTCCCTAAACCATGTTTCTATTAATTTGAGCCCATCTTGTGCTCTATTTCGCACAGTATGTTCACAAATTTGCGGGTCTGCAAGATAACTGTGTCATCTGCAATTGTGTGGAATCCATTATTGTGTTGGTGATTAATCAGGGTATCCAGAACTATGTTTCAAAGAGGGGATGATAAGACTTTTACCTGTGGACTTTCACACATGACCAGTCCTCTCACTGTGATATTTTCAATATTGACACTTATTGCTCAACTAGAGAGCATCTTGAATATCCATTCTCTTACTACCTGGGGAACATTCCTGGACTTTAGTTGCTGGGTAATTGTTAGAAAGTTTGTTTTATCAAACGCTCCCTCGATATCTATGAATATACCAAGGGTGAATTCTTTGTTGTCCAATGATCTTTCGATTCTGCTAACCACAAGATGAAGTGGGTTGTGAACTAGTACTTCATCTCTTATGTACCGCTCACATACCCTCTCCAATAGTTTTCAAAAAGAACGATGTGAGACTAATTGGCTTTTGGTAAGGTGTAGTCCATGCTACCTGGTTTGGGTATAAATACCACTCGTACTTCTCTCGACTTACTGGGAATATACTTCAGAGCTAAAGAGGTTCTGAATATTCCAACCAGGTGCGGCATATGAATATCCCTTCCCCATTGAAGTAGGGCTGGTCTTATACTGTCAGGTCCTGGTGACTTGAAGGGGTAAAAGCCCGATATGTCTCATCTTGTTCTCATCAATTACTGTACTAGCAGATTGCCAGTCGTATTGTGATGGTGTTGTTGGTACTTCCGTCTAGCTCGTCGTTCCAGGAAAGACAGAACCTGGGAAAGAGTTTCCATAAGAATCTCGGCGCTCTTTTGGAGGTTGGCGGCTTTGTCGGCATTTTCCCTCGTCAGGATGCCGAGGGATGATGGTCATTTGAGAGTGCCTTATCTGTAGCCAAGAAGCTAGTAGGAAGTCTTCGACTGCCTCACAATAGGCTCCTCAGGCTTCTCTCTGCTTTTTTCTGTAGACTTTTTTGAACTCTCTGAGGTTGGCTTGATATATACCCCAGTCCTCTTCGAGTTTTGTACGTTTTGCCTTGTTGAAGGTCGTTCTCGCTGTCTTCCTGAGGTGTTCCAGTTCAGAGTACCACCATGCATTGCCATCTGTTTGATCCATCCTCATCAGTCAGGATTCCTTAAAGGCAATGTCTGTTTTGTTTTGGATAGATACCGTGTACTTTTTCAGTTCTTCATTATTGCCAGGTGTCAGGACCTCTGTTTCCCGCAGAACTCTTTTCAAGAGTTAGTTTCAGAGGGCTATATTCGCCTCTTCGGGTCACGGGATTTAACAGTGGTCCTGAGATTCTGGCTTACCGTATAGGTCAACAAGTGTTGGTCCGACATAGAAATATGATCCGACACTTCCCAGTCTTGAATTTTGTTGGGTATTTTGGCTGCCTCAGTTCAAGTGGTGAGAGTTTGAGTCGCAACCCAATCTAAGCTCCACTCTCTGGTTGAGACAGTGTTACTCTACTACCTCCATTTCTCTGGTCGGTGGTAGGGTGGCTGTATCTGAAGGGAGGTACACCGATGCGAGAATCAACGCCGTATATTTTCCTTTTCCATCTGGACATTCCACTTTAACCCCAGTAAGATTTGAGGTGCTGAATTGTGCCATCGAAAAGGCTCTGTAATTCTAAGAACGTTAACAGCTGTCCTAGATTGCTGATTGCTTGGTAAGCTAAAAATTTGACCAGTTAGGCTACTGAAATCAGTAATTTTGGTCTTTATTATCCAGGGCTCCTGAATCAAAGCTATTGTATCCTCCAATACATCAAGACGGCGACATAGTATTGCCGTTGTCACATTTTTGTGTTGGAGGTTGTATTGTAACAGCTTTCGATTCTTCATGTTTCTCGATTGCGTTATTTCAAATATGGGTGACATACTATAGAAGGTCACCTGTTGATCTTTGTTTCCGAAAGCCATGTTCATGATCGCTCAAGATGTTGAACTGATAGCAAAGCGACTGGTCTATAGTTATTTGGAAGAGTTTTCTTGCAATTTTTGGGAATAGTCTGATGTGTATCAGATCTGATGGAGAAGATTCTGAAGACAGGGTCAGCATCAAACAAATTTGAAGTTCAGCTCGCAATGAGGTGTGAAGTGGTACAAACTGCGACTTTGGGTCATGTTGAGATGGAGCCTAACACTTTCATGAGAACGGTTGCTCTCGCATCTGATATTAATGAAAATACTGTTCTCGGAATTTTGAAGTAACTCAAAACCAAAAATTTCATTAGTAAGTTTTTATAAAGCTCTTCAAGTATCGAAATGAAAATTGGATGTTCGATATCTGTTCTGCTGATTTATGCTTGTTTTATCTGAATCATGAATTGACCTGACACAATTATCGAAACTGGAGCGATATAGCAACCTCAAAATAATAAGTATGGACTGGTATCTGGCAAAATCATATTCATTGACGGTAACTTGAATGACTAAAAGAAATAATGAAATCAACTCCAGGATAACTGAAACACTAGAAAAAAAAGGCAACCTCACAGAAAAAGAATTGACGTTTCATCGAGAAGAAACACCTCTACAAAATGTTACTCCTGTTCGAATAGTTTACTGTACAGCAAATTGGCAAAATATGAATGCTTTTTCGATCTGAACAAGCGCCTCGAGTGCTTAGGGGAACCCTTGGGACAATAAAGGATAACTGTTATAATAATGTATGTAAATCTAAGTATATTGTGTTAGGAATCACACGTTAAAAGGTTAGACCTCGTTAGTCCTTAGCTCGCACAAGTTTCGATTTCTGAGGGTTGTCGTTCGTATGGGTGCGACAGCTGGTTAACGGAAAAACTTATATTGAACACATATATAAAATGAAATGAAATTGAATTTGTTAATGAATTCATACCCGAAAATACAACTTTTAACTCGAAGTTACGACTTCGATTTCTAAATGTCTACTTTAAACTCCAAACTACGACTTCAATTTCGAGTCTAAAGTCGAAATTTTGAAATAATGTCGGAATTTTGACAAATTAAAATATGTTGAGGGCACGTACGGTCCTGCCCATGAGAGAAAGGTTTTATTAGAAAGAATAATGTATGAGATCATAAGCAAATACGTGTCTCCTGTGGAATTATGATTGTGAAAATTGTTTTTATCATGAATACTCCTATTTGATTGTTATTCAAACATTTCTCTCTAATTTCTCGAGATTACTTTTTATATTTGCTTTATGACCTCGCATGAATGAAATGTTCCTGAGTAATAACAAATTAACATTTTCGGATTCGTCGTGTTTTCTATTCAACTCAAAATATTGTGTACTACTACTGTACTATTTCTATTCAACTCAAAATATTGTGTACTACTATCCATTCTCATTTTTTTCTTCATCAATTCACTAGAATCGTGTCAACTGCATCTGGATCATATAGAGCATGTGAGGATTGTGTTTCAAGCTCTAGTAAGCTGACTAATACCATCTAAACGAGAATGACGAAAATATTTTTCTTCACATTATAGTTCTAGTTGACATTCAGAAACAATTGGTCACGATTCGTATCGATGAAAATGTTCCTGAAGTTTATAGTCATTGTGGAAATTTCTTTATTGGTTGAGTGTGAGCGATTTGATTTGAGTGCAAATAACAAATATTACGAAATACCCACATACAATATTTACGGCAGTGAAGATATATATAATGGAAATCGACGAGATGTTTACAAAGGCCATTACGGATCATCAAGAATACCACCTTCAGTTGAACAAATTGCTTCTTCTAGTTTTGAGGAATCGTCTCACCATGATAGAATTGATTTTCATTATCCACACGTTGAGTTTTTGACGAAAGATGAAACTACCCCCGACTTTGGCGAATTCCAGTCATCATCGGTTAATCAATTTCACTTCACACCAAGTCCACAAATTATCGAAGACGACGCATTTTATAAAAAAAGCACAAGAAGACCAAGGTTAAAAGTTCATAACGTGAATTCATCCGAATACTCATATGAACCTGTTAAATTATCCCACATCCAGAAAGTATTCAAGCCAACTGTAGAAAATGAAAATACAAAGTACGAGGAGATCTATACAGAAGCCCTAAACACGCCAGAAAAAAACAGTACCAAAGAACGGATAAACGTACTGCTGAAGAAGTATTTATCAAAACTTTACTCACAGAAATTCAATAATGCATACAAAAATGAATGGGAAGCAACTGTTAATCCCCAGTCAGTTTCGGAAAACGAGAAAGAATTATCTCCTAAAACAAAGTATTATGACAGCAGTTTATGGAGTTTGAAAAATGAAAAGATTCAAAAAATAAACAAACTTTTCAGTTTATTCACAATAGTACAATTCAACAATTCTCAGTGTAATGCTACCAGTTCTGCAGGATCGTATCTAGGAATCTGTTATACAACATACGAGTGCAGTAATTTGGGAGGAACAGCAGTAGGAAATTGTGCTAGTGGATATGGAGTTTGCTGTGTTTGTAAGTTGTGATATTTTATAATATTTATATTTCTCGTTCTTTTCATTTTCAAACATATCATATCTCACATAAAATTCAAATGTCTTGATGTACATAATTCCATTTTGAATTTTAAATATTAAAATTGAAAATGAACTATTGAATGGAAAGAAGGGTGATGAAATCTTTCCTTACGAAGACGACATCTATGGGATCACTTTTGTCAATTTTGGCGGATTAAAGCAAGGTTTTTTTTGTTCACTTGTTCACATGAATATTAGTTATTTATTATACAAGGAAAGAAAGTATTAGATTTTAGTAAAATTGAAAATATAAAAAAATGGAAGTTAATCAAAATACGATGGAACGTATCGCAAAAATGGATTCTGATAATATTTGTACTACCCTTAGAAGCAAAATATTTCAACTTTATTCGAATTAATCTGTGATGACGGTGAAATCTACTGACTTACCGAATGATTGGCGTGGCCTACCAATGATGATATAAAACTGGGGACAAATTCCAGCATTGTAGTTTCAAAGAGGCAGACATCTAGTCAGAATAGTAGAAGAATTTGAGGACATCGTGGTGGTAGCACGAGAATCCCCAACATATTACCCACGAGAAGACCAAGTCCCAGATATTCTTGATGTCGCGATAGTGCAGAACATCACTACTACGTTTTTGTTTGAAGGTGGTTGACAATGTTTCGTGGTTTATCTCATCAATTCGGACTCCCATTGCCTAATATAATATAAATTGATTTGAAATCCCTGAAAAAAAAATTTAAAATATTAACCGAAAATAACAAATTTATTAAACAAAAAACTGAAATTACAAAGAAATAATATACAAGCTACAACCAAAAAAATAAAAAATTGAAATATTAATAAAAAATGAAAAATAAAAATCAAAAGATTCCAAACCAAGTTACGTCACGGGTCGGGTGATAACTAATCACCCGAAGACGAGAACTTCTGACACGTTTTTCGGCCCTAGAAACGCCTGGATCGCTCTACATTTTTCATGCCCTGGCCTCAAACCTTCCTTTGACAATACGAAACCCAAATATTCAACAGTTCTCATACGAAATCTACATATCCTGAGTATCAGTGTCAAATCAGCTTTCTTCAAAGAATCCAAAACAAGACTAAGCATGTTAAACATATCATCCCATCTTTCCTAATAGATCTAACACTGAGTTCATCAGTTTGTAAAATTCAAATGGAGCATTCGAACTGACCTCGTTCATTTGGAGTTATAAATGTAGTTTTGGGTGTTACATGTTCAGTCAGTGGTACTTGTAAAAAATGGGCAAGTTCTAAAGTTGAAAATCGGCTGTAACTATTTGAATTTTCAAATTATTCATCAGTTGATGGAAAAGAATATATATCAACTTTTCAGTTTGTTCATTTGAACGTGTTTCACCTAATATTTGGGCACTAAAATCACCGAACTAGCATAAAAACAATTCCATTATTATGCCTATTTTGGAAAATACTTTTCAACATCTACAAGACTAATCTCTGTGCGGTATCTTACATAAATGTATGTCAGATATAATTCAATATTTAATGTGGTAGGTACCTATATACCAGAACCTACTATGTAGGTATGTCTGTCTCTTTCAGCTGAACTGACTATATTGTTTTATAATGATTGGTTTATCATCATTAACATAACAATGTTAAATCAGTACAATCCAGCTTCCTTGAATTATATGCGAAACAAGTTCGATATGAATTGAATGTGTCAATTATATCCTTAGCAGTCTCTTGTACAACGTTCAACTACCGCTAGTTTGTTCATATCTGAAGATATTTTTCCCAACTTCCGGCGTTTCTCTATTGTGGCACGTCTCAATTTATCTAGATTTTCAACTGAAACTGCGACTTCTTCATCAGAAACCCTGCAATTGATGGGCATGACTGTATTTGGTTGAAATACTGAACGACAACCTATTCTTGTTTGAGCATGATGGGCATGACTGTATTTGGTTGAAATACTGAACGACAACCTATTCTTGAGCTATGAAGGAGTTCATCTCATTTGAAGTTTTGTTGTTAAACTTCGGAAAATGACAACTTGACCCTCCAATAAAATGTTAAATCATCTTTTTTTCGAACAGACCTGGGCTTACGAATTATCGTCGGTGAAAGTTCAAACCAAAATAACATCAACGGATCGAGCTTCAGCTGGTACTACACATAAGGACACCTTGTCCATAAAAAAAACTCCTAACTCGATTTTGGTTGTGAATTTGAACCTTTGACCGTACAACTTTGATTCTTCTGGTTGGATAATTTGTCTGCGCTGCTTTACTGCTAATTGTACAAACTGTGTTTCCTGGATCGAGTAAAGCTTGCTACTGTACATTCACTGTATGCGTGAATTGGTTAAGAATTTGATAGTTGCGCTCATCGAATGAAGTTACATTAATTGTTTGAGTGGTTTCTGTGCAACTGCGTGTCCAGGTTTGAATAATTTATAACATAAAGAGGTTCTTGTTTTATTACACCTATTTTTTGAATGTTATATCTATCTCCACAATTATACTCAAACCTATGCCCAAATTACCCTGTAAAAATATTGAACAACCTGACCCTAGAAGTCAAATTGACTAATTTTATCAGATTTATCATATACAACATTTTTGGTGTTCAAGAACCACTTTTGAAATGTTAGCTTTTGCTCTCCTAAATGGCACAAGAGGCACAGAAGCTCTAAACAACACTTAATTATAACATATAATTCCATTCGTACACTCTGCCTGCCACTCTCCTTGTTTCCAGGCAACAAGCTATCTGAATTTACCACACTGCACTCTTCATGTGTTTAGAAAGTGAGTACATAAAAAATTCTAAATATTTCATTTATTTATTTCATTATGTTATGTACAAAATATATTTATGACAAGTCCAATGGTATATAGTTTTTAGTAAAATACAAAATAATAGATGANACGGGGCATCAGTCATCACGTATAGCACTTTTTGAAGACGGAAAACTCTAACAGAGTGAGGTGAATTTCCCCATAAAATAATTCCGTAATTCAAATGAGAGTGGAAAAGAGCGTGATATGAAGATAGGAGGTTAGAAGAATTTAAAGAATTTTCAAGACGTCTCAAAAGAAAAAGCTGAGTGGATAGTTTTTTTGATAATATATCAATATGGGTTTGCCAACTCAAGTCATCATCAAGGGTCAGACCGAGCAGCTTGACAGATTCCGATCCACATAACTTCTTGTTTGAGGGGAAGACCATTTTTTGAGATTTGATGTTATTGAGGTTTAGGTTTTTTGCTCTGAACCAGAGTTCCGCTTTACGGTCAACGTTAGTGGAGATTTCGTTCAATATAGATACGTTGTTGTGGGATTGAAAGAAGTGTCATCAGCGTAGTGTTATTCCTTTTCCCTGTTTTGTCTTTTTACTAAGAGTTTACTAAGAGCTGAAATAAAAGAAAGACATACCCAATTTCATATTATTCATTGAGATATTACGGTACTATTATGCAATTATAACAAAGCATACGATCATATATGTTGAACCTTCTCAACTCTTGTCGTTCTCAGAAATAATTCTGTCAAATTTGTGGGATCTTCATAGAGTTCACACACTGGAGACTATCGCAACTAAACGAAGTCTAACAGTTTATTAGAAGAAATGCATGGAATGCGGAAAGGTAAATTTGTCAACACAGAATATCATTTGCGAGCGTATAGGTGCTCCTTGACAATCTACCAAGATACGGCTTTCAAAATGAACGTTGAACGAGTCAACTCAAGATTATTCCAATAACTAGGTATATACAACATTTATGATTATTTACATGGGCTTGGACACTGTACATGTGTACATGGGAGGTAGGTTGATACGTTTTTATCAGATTGGGTGGTTTAGGAAAACTAGTTGGTGAATATATTACTATCTTTTGCAGTTCCTAAACTGGAGCAATATACAGGGTGAAACATTGATCACCTTAAAACAAAAATA